GGGCACCCGCCCTCCCTCCTCACCTCGCTGCACCACGCAGGAACGCAGGCAGACACCGGCAGCTCTGGAGAATTCGTTTATGTGACAGCCATCGCCCTCAAAACCGTCCGCGGTGCCCCCTCTGCCCACAGAGCGCAGCCCCGCGCCACGGCCCCTCGGGGAGGGCGCCTCGCGCTGCTGCGCCCCAGCGGGGTTACTTGGGGACCCGCCGGAGCTCGCTCATGAGCCACAGCGCCACGCTGAGCAGTGCCAGGGAGCCCGACTGGTGGGTGGCTGCCAGAGGTGTCGGCACATACAGCAGCAGGGTGCTGATGCCCAGGCCCACCTGCCAAGAAGGAAGAAGCAGTAAGGGCAGCCGGGGAGGGCGCCTCGCGCTGCTGCGCCCCAGCGGGGTTACTTGGGGACCCGCCGGAGCTCGCTCATGAGCCACAGCGCCACGCTGAGCAGTGCCAGGGAGCCCGACTGGTGGGTGGCTGCCAGAGGTGTCGGCACATACAGCAGCAGGGTGCTGATGCCCAGGCCCACCTGCCAAGAAGGAAGAAGCAGTAAGGGCAGCTGTAAAATTGGTGTGTGCCCCTGACAAAGCACAGCACAGAAACACCTACAGCCACAGTCCAACTTCCCACCCTCCCGCTCAGACTGTTCGCACAGTATGCTGAGGCCTCAGGTCTGGACAGCTCCAGACACCTGGGGCAAAGACTGTACCTGCACGCATGCCACAGCTAGTAAGGAAGTCACTGCCATCCTTGTCCTGCGAGGGAGTGGGATCTTCCGTGAGAAGAGGTACAGTGCTGTGATAGCTGTGATTGAGGCAATTCCCTAAAGAAAGAAGTGAGTTTGGGATGGGCAGGAGAAACAACCACCTTTTGAGAACAATTCACAGAAAACCAGTGCAGATGCCTTTGGCTGCATCGTCCGTGCAGGAAAAAAAAAGCTCCGTAAGCAATATTTAACTGTAGAAATACATTAATGGCCATAATCAAATCCTGGAGCTCCCGTGACCCATTAAGTTAACAGCCCTGAAGTCTAAGAAAGATTATTGAGAGTTCCTTTTTCTCCAAATTAATGGGAAAAGCTACTGAAAAACAAAGCATTTTAAGTCATTATGGGTTACTTCTGTCCTATCCCCATCCATCACCTTGTCAATTACAGGTGGAAGCTGTCCCTAGAAAATTGATCTCATTATCACTACTCAGCCATAAGTTACTAACATAATCTCATTCTGCAGGTCACCCCATGGGATTCCTCCTCTAAATCACTTATCTTTCTTTTCAGTCTTAGCAACGGCTTAGTCCATCGCAGTGCCACTCTTATCAAATATCTGGATTGCTCCGAGATATTTTCACAGAGCACTATAGATGTAAAGCATCCTAAAGGTTCAGAAGTACGAGAGGAAGTGGATAGCACTCGGTACTCAGATTTCTAGGTTTTATTTCAACCAATACCTCCAGGTATTTCAAGTGAGGGCTACTGTGATCTGTAGCTTATATGCAATGGAAACCAAGGCACAAAGAAATCAAGTTAGTAACTTAGGAAGGAAGGAAACTTCCTTTTAAAAAAGTCTACTTTGAACACCAGAGAAAGGGTAGCCTCCCTCTTTCCAGAGAGGCAATCTGGTAACAAGCTCAAAAGACCTCAGGTGCCCTGAACGTCATTCCTTCTGACAGAA